TATTGCATGACACGGGTGCACTTACCTACATGCAGGCAATATAGGCATACACATAATAAAATCTTTTTTAAAAAAATGAAAGTGCCTGTGACTGATGTGAGGGTCTCATTCTTGGCAATGAGCTGAGCTCTGTAGGAAGACGTTGCTGTGTGTCTGGGCATGACTGGACCTTGTGTGCACAGAAGTAGGATGCCCAGATGGAGGCTGGGTAGAGGCCTCATGCATGCAGAGCCCAGGACTCATGGTTGTCCACACAAGTTTCTGCCCTCACTGGATCCCATACAGTCAGAGGCTCATGCTTGGAGTCCCACAGATGTCCCCTCCTATCCGAGGACTGTAAAGCCCTGGGGTTTGTGTTGGCCCAGCGGTCACAGGCTTGCTGTGATCCCTTGACATTTACAAATGTGAGCCTTAGCCTTTAAGACTGAGCTGTCTTTCCAGCTCTCCTTGAAGACTCTTGGCCTTCTGGAGTCTTCCCTTCCCCAATGGCTTCTGAAGTGTCAAGCACAACCCCCTCACTACTTTATGGTTTTACCAGAGATGAAAGCCTGCAGCTTCCATGGCTTCTGCTTGAAGGGGGCGGGGCAGGGGAGATGACACAGCAACAGGCATTTCTGTCATTTTTTTGTGCTTGCATGGCACTGGACATCAAACCCACAGCCTCATGCCAGCCAGGCAAAGGCTCTACCACCTAACTACAGCCTCAGACAAAACAGGTGTTTTTACCTGGGCATGGCATTCCATGCCTGTAATGTCAACTCCAGGGAGGTTGAGGCAGGAGGATCTTCAGCTGGAGGCAGCCTATACTGCATAGGGAGACCCTGCCTCAAAACAAAAAGCAACAATGCAATCCTAGGTTCCGCCGGGAGCTGACTAGCCCAGGTTGGGGTGAGTTGTTGGGGAGGGGTGGGTACGGTGGGATGAGGTGTTCGCTGTGTATTCAAGGCTTGGGAACCCTTCTTTGTGGTCTTCTTCCAACGCAGCCTCCCTTATTGAGTGGAACCTGTCACCCTAAACCAGGCCTGCAGACCTCAGTAAGCCAACCTAGGCCAGAGTAAACGAAGCACAGCCCCTCCCCCTTTGGTGCTTGTAAGTGGAACTGTAGACCGCCTAGCATGAAAAATTTATTCAGGAGCCCAGGGAGGGAGAGCAGAGTGGGAGGCCAGGCCCTGGGTTCCTGCCAAGCTGGACCCTGGGTAGGAACAGGTGCCCTGCACAAGGGTGAAGAATCAAGGCTGTGGGCTATGCTTGGCAGCATGGTGCTAGTCGGGTAGCCTGCCCTCACTGCAAGGCCAAGGAGCCTGGGAGATACCAGAGGCCTGGTGGGCTGGCTACAGGAGCTCAGAGCAGCTTTGAGAAGGGTGGGATGCTGGGGTTTCCTAGTCCACCTGCAGTGCTGTGAAAGGCCCGCCCTTGGCCACAGGTCTGCCCAGCTCTATTTCCCGTTTCCAGGGCTCTGGGCCAGCAGGGGTGGGGGACCATCCACCCCCCACACCTGCAGGCCTATGCCAGCTCACACCATCATTAGTGTTGCTGGGCACCCAGCCTGACCCAGTGCTGGTCGCCATGGCAGCAGGCAGCATGCTGGCAGGAGCTCAAGCTGGGCTCTAGTGTCCCACGCTGATCTAGACAAGTGGTGTCTAGGGTCTGGGATACCACTAGCCCTATGGGGGTGGGGGCAGCTGGAGGTAGGGGAAATGGACCCTCCAGTGGCCAGGGAAGCCCATCCCCCAATGTTCTGGGAAATGAAATTTCCTGAGAGCTAGACGTAGGGATGGACACCCTGGGGCCTGGGGGCCTTCAGGGTAGTTCTGTTCCTGTCCTCGGCTGGGCCCTCTTTACCAAGAGCAGCAGCATCAGAGTGACAGCTGAGGTGATCCTTGCCTTTCAGACCCAGCTGTGGCAGAATGGCCCACTGCTCTCTCCACTCAAAGCTAGCTGCTCCCTGAAGTAGGGACTGGAGCACTGCTCATCCAAATGACCTCTTAGGGTCCATCAAAGGTGCTTCTCCCTCAAGATACGCATGTTTTACTGGGTGCATCTGGTGGCCTGACGTGCTCGGGCCTGCCACAGCAGCAACTTCAGACAGCCTTATTCTAGGCACACCATCTTCCCTCTGGCTCAAGGTGGGCAGATGGAGGTCCTAGAGTAGCAGTGACTTTGGATATTCCCAAGTGCAGCCTGTACAGGTCACAGTGGCAGACACATTTGTGAACTCCAGGTGAGAGAGACACTGTCTGTTGTCTAAGTACCCTGTGGAAGGGCTGGAGGACCCAGCCTGCCATGGGTTGGTCTGTAGCTGCGATATGACTGGCACCATGGAAAGAGACTCTTTTAAGCAGTGCACAGTCTGTCTGTCATGCCAAAAGTGAGTTCTGAGGCTGATCTCTAGGGTAGCATCTTCAGAGGCTGGGCTGGCTCAGCAGGTGACCTTGCAACTCAGCCCGGCCCCTCTCCTTATGCACCTAGACATGCGCGTGCACACAAATATACGTATGCATTGAATACCCAGACCTGCGTGCACAGTGTAAACATCTTTCACAGAACTTCAGCCCACTACACAGGCATCAGACCCTGTCAGTCACAGGCGCTTAGTAAGCACCTATTTTGTGCTAGAAGCCCTGCTGGGATCTGAAGTGGAAGACCCCCTTCTTGGCCAGTAGACCACAGCCTTGGGGACTGCAGTGAAGGTCTGGGTGGAGAGACCCAAGCACACTGCCCCCCTCCAAGGACCCCCCCAGGAGCCCAGCAGCCCCTTCAGGTTCCCACCTGGGACTGAGGGGGTCCCAGAATTGAGTAGCCGTTGGCACTTCTGGCCTTGCTACCAAGAAGCTGTCCAGAGCCAGGGCGCTTAGTGCCTGGCGGCCAGGCCTTCTCCCACCAGGCACCTGATGCTGCTGAACCCTGCCAGCACCAGTCAGGGTAATGAGACCATTATGCCAATCAGAAAGACTAGACATCCTAGGTTCTGCCGCCTGGCTGGATGGGGCTAGGGCACTGTAGGCAAAGCTGACCCTAAGACCTCCTCATAGACCAACCTAGCCAAACCCTCAGGACCTGATGGGAGACTACCAAGCCAGGGACACTTCTCAGTATGAACACCAGCCTGGTAACTGGGAGATTGTGCATGGGCATCAGGGTCTCATGTCTCTTCATCTCTAGGGCAGTGCCCCACACAGAGCCTTGTCATGCACTCAGTCGGTGCCTTATAGATAGGGGAGCAGGGGTCACAGAGATGGATGAAGTTGGCCTGCAGGGACAGCTGAGATCAGTAGGTTAGCAGACGAATTTATCATGACTCCCACTTGGGCTCCAAGTAGGGGACATTCTTCACTTCCTCAGTGTGTGCAGGTGCCTGGATGGACTCCTCTGCGTGCTCCCCAACCATAGACTCCTGCACAAGTTCTCCACCATGGCCACTCAAGGGACAGAGAGCCCAGGAGGATGGGAGAGGGACTGGATCCACGGTTGGAAGTGCCCCTCTGCCCCTGTTACTAGTCCCCAGGGAGGCCAGAGGGTCACACTGTTATGAAGAAAACGGCACCAACTCTGGCTCAGGCCCAAGATGGGCAGCTCTGGTTTCCCTGCTTGGCTCTGGGCCCCTGAGGCAGGTGCAGGATATAGGCAAGCAGACTACAGCTGTGCATACCACCAAAGCCCCGCCCCCAGATGCCCTTCAGACTCAGGGTAGAAGGGGTACAGGCAGATGAGATGCCAAGGGGTCAGGTGTGGCTAGCTTTCAGGATCTCCTGGCCCGGGGTCCCATCCCTCTGCTGGATTCCGAGGGGTACGTTTGGTAGCATGGAGAAGACTATGCTCCATGTGACCTCCTGAACTCATCTGTAAAGGCCCAGAGTCAAACCCGTAATCCCAGTGATCTGAGCAGCGGAAATGGGGTCCTCCAGGCCACGCAGCAAGTCTGCCAAAGGCTAGCTCACCCTGAACTCCCTGCAGAGGAAGGAAAGCATCATGCCCTAATAGTTGGCAGGGTACAGAGGAGCTCTGGCACACCCTGGTCCTTTTGACTCTTGCACATACAGCCCTGGATGTGCACATTACACAGCTTCTCTAACACACACAACACACACAAGACTGCTCTTCCCAAACTAGAGGGACCTGCAACATCAGGGCACCTGTTTGCACACTGCCGCACCCCTGCTCAGGGTCAAGGTGTTCTAGGTCCTAGCCCTATCACTGGCACATGCCCATCCCTCCTGCCACCTTCCCAGTCTAGGGCTTAGGGTCAGCCTCAGGGCAATAGCAGGCCTAGGGCTGCAGAATAGGGTAGGAGCCATGCCATGGCCAGAGGGACAGCCCAGGAAGTTGCTGTATGCTGTGGGGGCCTGGCAGCAGGAATCAGAGACCCAGTAACTGGATCCTGCAGAGGATCTGATGGCCACTGAGGGTGGAGGGCTGCGATCAGGTTGCTGCCCTGCTGTGAGTTTTCCACTGGGTTGCTTTTTCTACCTTGGGAAAGAGCTGGGCTGGGCTAGGAGACAGAACTGGGGACCTTGGGGGGCCCTGAGGTGGCAGCCAGTAAGAAGAAAGGCTAAGAGGTGTGGGGCCCACAAGTGGGGCATAGGGCCCAGATTCTGGGCCCAGGCAGTTGTGGGTGAGGACAAGGAGGTGGTCAGCTCTGCTCTTGTCCTGCTGGGCACAGGGCTCTGGCCTTGGTGCAATCAGGAGCCACTGAAATCCAAGCTGGCAGTAACGCAAGGCAGCCAGTGCTCCTAAGCCGGCACATCTCTGATCCGCCCTCTGCACCCGCCCTCTGCTGCCTGCTGGCCATGTAAGATCTGCCTGGGTGGCTAAGGCCACAGGAGGGAGGCAGTGTTAGAGAAGGTAGCCTCCATGACACTGGCTGGGCCTGCGGGCCGAGGGCCTGCTGAGCGGAGCTAGGTCTCCCAGGGGCCACGGGGCCCTGAACACACACACACAGCTTCCCAGCCTCCTGGGGCAACCTGGCTAGCCTCAAAGATGCCAACCAACGGCCTGCACCAGGTGCTGAAGATTCAGTTTGGCCTCCTGAATGATACCGACCGCTACCTGACTGCAGAGAGCTTCGGCTTCAAGGTCAATGCCTCCGCATCCAGCCTCAAGAGGAAGCAGACTTGGGTCCTGGAGCCTGACCCGGGGCAGGGCACAGCTGTGCTGTTCCGCAGCAGCCACCTGGGCCGCTACCTGTCTGCAGAAGAAGACGGACGTGTGGCCTGTGAGATGGAGAGGCCGGGCCGTGACTGCCGCTTCCTGGTCTTGCCACAGCCTGATGGGCGCTGGGTGCTGCAGTCGGAGCCACATGGCCGCTTCTTTGGAGGCACCGAGGACAGGCTATCCTGCTTTGCCACAGCCATCTCCCCCACAGAGCTGTGGACAGTGCACCTAGCCATCCACCCACAGGCTCACTTGCTGAGTGTGAGCCGGCGGCGCTACGTGCACCTGTGCCCGCAGGAGGATGAGATGGTGGCAGATGGTGACATGCCCTGGGGTGTGGATGCCCTGCTCACCCTCATTTTCCAGAGCAGGCGGTACTGCCTCAAGTCTTGTGACAGCCGGTATCTGCGCAGTGACGGCCTCCTTGTCTGGGAGCCTGAGGCTCGTGCTTGCTACACGTTGCAGTTCAAGGCGGGCAAGCTGGCCTTTAAGGACTGTGATGGCCGCTACCTGGCACCCGTTGGGCCCGCAGGCACACTCAAGGCTGGCCGCAACACACGGCCTGGCAAGGATGAGCTCTTTGATTTGGAACAAAGTCACCCGCAGGTGGTGCTGGTAGCTGCTAACCACCGCTATGTTTCTGTGAGGCAAGGTACACTTAGGCAATTGATGTGTATGTGTGTGTGTGTGTGTGTGTGTGTGT